CTGCACCTCTCTTGACGCGTGTATCCAATAAAGATCGCCTGAACTTCTGTGAGAATGATAACTTGGTTGGGAAGAAAAACAGCAAAAGAATGAAAATAAATGAAAGCAACACAAGGATCATCAAGGATGTAGACACCTCACACGGAGTGCGCAGGAAAGCCCGAAAAAACCGAGCCAATTTCTGTGGTGTGACTCGGGTCCCCCTATGTTTACAATAAATTTCACGTTTAAACATCTGTCTTTCAGGTGTTCGTAGTCATGGAAAAAATGCGAGGCGACATGTTGGAACTTATTCTGTCGAGTGCCAAAGGAAGATTGGACGAGAGATGCACGAAATTCCTCATAACACAGGTAAAATGAATTCACTTTCCCTAGCAAACGCAGCTGGGGTAACTTGCATCGAAAGCTCAATTCTGACGACGTAGCTTTAAGAGATCCATCGGTAATTGGTCGATATTTACGCACACAAATTCGAATCTGAGAAACAGCTTACAATGAGGAAAACTTTGATCTTTGGTTGAATTACAATGCACGCCGACAGGATGGAATGAGTTGGATCTGACTTTGGGATGATTCCGACAGGGTGCGACACAAATTGAAAAAAAAATTGAGAGTGGAAGGAAGACCTTAGTTCATTCATAAAGAGAACGATGTGAAACACTGTTTACTTCGCATGCTGTGTTACACTAAAATAATACAAATGCTTGAAATTTTCCCACGGACAGACATCACCACTTGAGAGAAATAGCAACACATTTTTCTTTGTCAGACCTAAGTTTTGGATCAATGTCGGTATCTAAGCAACTGCGCATCTAACACTCCCCCTAGAATCAACAATAGTCAACCAATAAAAAGCTAGGGTTAATGTTGAGTTGGGGGGGAGGGGGGGAATAGATTCACAGTGACTCAGATACTTACAATGAACCCTAGTTTTATCATCATTGTTACTGTATTTTTTTTTAAGCGACGATTCTTAAGGTGATAGGTATTCCATCGGCCAATAGCAACATTCTCCTTGATGGACGGATTTGGTCCAGAAGCAGAGATGTTGAATGAGTCATGTTGTCTCAACGATACATGATCTCGATTTGCTTTACGTTTTTTCTTTTTTTTTTTTCTTTGCGTGCAGATTTTAGTGGCTCTGAGAGATCTACACAGCCGAAATATTGTTCATTGTGACTTAAAACCAGAGAATGTGCTGTTATCGTCAGTATCATCCGAATGTGGTTTCCCACAGGTGAGGTTCCGTTAGTGCTGTTCTTTTGAAATAAATTTGTGGGCCTTGCTTTTTCTAGAGAACGGCAATGGTTAAGAGGCGAGGCCTGATTTTTTTTGTTCTCTTCAACAGATCAAACTGTGCGACTTCGGTTTTGCTCGGATAATCGAAGAGAAATCGTTCCGTCGATCGGTTGTCGGGACTCCAGCCTACCTCGCCCCTGAGGTCCTACTCAATAAAGGATACAACAGATCTCTCGATATGTGGTCGGTCGGTGTCGTCGTTTATGTAAGGTAAGAATCAATAGAGAGCTTAACCACTACTTTTACAGAATTCCTTTAGCCGTGATATTAAAATGATGATATCTTTCTTTACTTCTTAGAATAGCTTTTTTTCCCCTAATTTTCTCCTGAATTGAATTTAAGTGACGGAACTTTAAGTTTATTTCGTCGTTTGCCGCACACTGTAGAAGTCATCTTCAAGTTCTTTCTTGAAACAGCTAGGGAATACGTCTTGAGTCTCTCCACGGTATCACAGACACAACGATGAATAAGACCCTTCCATCCACACAACTATGCAAATGAATGAAAGCACTTATGTATTCAAGCTAATTGGAAAATATGCTCTTCGACGACTGATCGCTGTACAAAACCTTGGTGTCTTAAACGTGTCTAAGGCAGATGTCATTTATAGAGAATCTGACAGACTTGGTGCTAAATCGTTACGCCGCAAAGTGCTCTGGACTCTTGTCTCAAATGATGAGGTACTGGAACAGGGTGGTGGTGTAAAGGCGAGGGGGGGGGGGGG